GTCCGAACAGCGCTAAGCTTTGGATCGAGGTTTTTGTGTATTGATGAGTTTAAAGTAGTATTTTTGAACACACATTCCCCGACTACCTCGTAGGTGGAATAACCACACCTTACTTGGTACAGCTTTGGTAGTTTCTTCTGCTCCTTTCCGCGCCTGCAAGTCAGTCAGCACTTACGCTTAGAAGTCTATATTTGAGCTCTGCTACCCACTCCTTGCAATCATGGAATGCGTCTTTGAACGAGCTTTGTTATATAAACGAAAGAATATGTATTAAATAGGTAAGAACTTTAAGGACAGCATGAGAAAGAGTGGGCGAAGAATCTTGGACCATTCATCCAATCATTTGTGAGGTCCGCAGCGGCTTTTTTTCAACCCGGACGTAGGAATTTGACAAAATAGAACTGTTCCCATCCAAAACTTTCGCTTGCGTTCTCAAGGTTCTTAATAAGTTCAGGATTGTTTGGAAGAAATTGGAAGCTCTAGCCACAGGGACAAACCGATAACTGCCCATAGTTCACTCAGATCTGTTAAGAGAACGAACTTTGCCCAAATGTATGAGTTTCACGTACCGGTGCGAACGAAGATTGGTCGTACATTAGTTCCCTTTTCTGACGTTTATCCTTCGCTCTGTTGATTAACCACACTGCTAACCAAATGGCGAATGCGATGATTACGAGTATGCAGAAGATGACTATCAATGCCACTGCCCATCCGTATTTGTTATGCCTGAAATCAATGGTAAAATAAGTGGAAGAGAGAAGGGAAATCATTAAAACCAGCTCTGATAGGCTAGAATAAAAATGAGAAAATACGGTTGCGCTGTAGGTTGTTCAGAGTGAGGTAGCGCTTCTTTAAAACGGTTCTATGAAATTTGAAGAAGCTAATTTGAGGGCCAAGAGGAAAGCTTCATCTTCTCTGCGCGCTTCCAGAAATGTCAAGAAGTGAGTGAACGTTTCTGGAGCGCTACGAACCTCCTCGGCTCTCGCACTTCAAAAGGCACAGGTAAGTTTTGAAGGGTCTTAAGTGATTTTAACCCTTCAAAATCCTTAGAACTGCCTTCAAGAAGCAATGTGTGATCCATTCTCATAAGGCTGCCTTCAGCAGAAAGTAGTGCGTATTGAGTGGCTCTTGTAACTCGCCGCAGCTCGGGGCAGTTGGGTAACTAAGGGGTTATCAACATGAGGCTAAAGATGTCACACTGGCAAACTGTACAGACGTGAAAGTACATGCATAATCCTTCTATTCAGCATAGCTGGCGCTGCAGCTGATCCCATTGAGATCGGCGATTAGAGACTTTTTCTGCACGGCCAGAGCAAGGCCTCACACAGTACCAACCTGGCCATTTTGCGGATCGGCTACCAAGATACTGTACAGGAGCTAACCCGTAGCTCCGGTAGCCATCTGTACAGTACATCGGTGCTCACCCGCGAGGTCTAATTGTATTACCCACATCGCGCTCAATGAGCCAATACCGTTCTAAGTAGGAGAGGAATGCGCAAAAAGGATCCATCAACAGCGAAAGCTTAGTTCTCAATCCTCTTGATCCCATCGCGATGACGGGGTTGTCGGTCGTTCGCAGCGAAGGACGAAACGCCGTTTAGGTCCAACTACTTCTCTCAACTCATAATCAACCAACCTCTACCAGACCTGTTTAGTACTTAAAGAAGCGAAATCAACATGCCAGATCTTGGTCGCTGTTTCGTTATACGTGAAAGGCCAACTAAATAAATTCCTACGGTTACAAATGGAAGTTGGATGCGTGGCTCATCTTCAAGAAATGAGTCAAATCGCCTTTTTCTTCTTCCCTAACTAACCAGTCGTCATTGTCACAGCATCCATACTGACAGCATCCAATGTCCTTGTAGCACCGCTCTACGACTGTCTGCTGAGTGTTCGCTATGCCGTAGAAGCAATCGTAGAATGATGGATCGATGGCTGAACAACAACAGAGTTAACGTCAAATTCGAAATGTCAACAAAGCGATTCTAGTTAGGCAGCAAGGCGTTCCTGCGAGTGCGACTAATGCGCTTAGCTATTCTTTCCGACTAATCGCTAAAACTAGCTATATGACCGCGTATATGCTCTGAAATGACAATAGACACCTCGCTAGGGGTAAATTATTTCGGCTAAAATAAGTCTTGCGGTCGAAAAAAAATGTTATTACAAGTCAGAAACGGCGCGAAGCGTAATGAGGCCATTAACTAAAGTTTGGGCACACCCTAAACATTCTTAGCTGTAGATGGTCTATCAAAACTGGCTAGTATTCTTCATGCGCAACCATTCAGCAGGTCTCCCCCACTCCTCCTGCTGCCACCCCACCACCTCGTCCTCCCCGGGTTCAGCAAAACAAATATTTGATCAGGCTATAGACTCCCTACGATTAATCACACTATTGATCGTAAAAATCGAAAGATGGAACTATGAATTAGTCTGGAAACTTACTGTTGACACGCTGTTCGACGAGGGAGGTTCGAACAATATTTTGTCCATTTCCAAGAACGGGTCGCTGACCTCCCGCGGCTGCGTCGTACTGCCGCTGGAACGGATTGATGGTTGTTGCTGAAAAGAGCTCGATGAATGTTCCCATTAGGTGTCTTTCAATAAGATTATTTTCTGCTTTGAAACTTCCTGAATATACCTAGCGTATTGCATAATTATGATACAAGACTTTTTTATGTAACTCCGTTTCAAAATGAGGCCCTAATCTAGCACTTGACACTACAGAGGCTATCAGAAAATGTGCAACAGACGATAAAACCTTTCGAAAGTAGAGATCTTTCCTTTTTCTTTCTCAAACGAATCTGCTGAAACTGTCTAGATAACCTCAATTTGCACTATAGCTGAGTAAGTGACGTCCTGCCGACAACTCAACTCATCGCAGCAGTCCTCACATGGGAATGCTTTAACTGCGATGCATCAAATTTTGAATATTGAGCGGGTCGGTTGGGAAGTCCAAATGCGGACGACGCGTGAGAAAGGTGTTGAAAGTAATGTCGGTAGTTAGTTGTATTTTGATGTCCCGACAGACTAGCCGTTATTTGCGTCCGCGATAAACGTAATCCTTTAGAAAAGCGGTTCTCAAAAAATGAATGGTGCAATCGGCCGCCAACTACCGGGAGGACCACAGATCATCGAGATCACTAGTCCTAAAGACTTTTCAACCACAACTAATGGTTGAAAGAATTCACTTAGGCAAACAGACGGGGCGCAACACGGCCGCTATGCTCAAATATTTAGGCCTATGGGCACTCTGTGAGATCACACGTTGCCAAGTTGGCCGTGTGGTGGCTGATATGGGCCAGTTTCTAAACTTCGTCTGGAGCCTTTTTCAGCGTCAGTTCTCCCTTCGTATTGAAAGTCCATCTTATGCGTCCAGTCCAGTGATCACTGGTAAAACTGCAGAAGGGAGATTTTTAGTCAGAGCTCTTTTCCCTTTTCTTCTTCGCCGTTGACTATCTCTACAATTTCGCTTTCGAACCCCACTTTCTACGATCTGCAGTTGCGGAAAGCGCCCTCAAATATTGAGAGTATTGCCGACGATCAAAGCGATCTGACAAGTGAGGATCATCCAGCCTGTTCGCATTCCTAGTGCAGCTTCTCATGTCCGTGTAACAGAGTAGTGATAGCTCACTTTGGCATTGCAAGGGCGTCTAACGTAAGTGGAGGAGGTCATGTTCTGCCATACATAGGGCGTCTAAGTGACATTCATGCAGGAATAAATGAAGCAGGTGTACTGTCCTTTCTTGCAAAATTAATTAGTCACAGAAGTCCGCGATTGATCAGAGATATCCAGCCAGAATTTATCAATAGGATGCTGAGTTCCAAAGTGCACATCACAGCCAGGGGTAAGGTTCCGATCTATGGTTTTCGTGCTGTGTGTCTATCTCACCTGTAGATGGGCTGCTTTGGGTGTTTTGGGCGAAAGCTTAAGCTTCTCTTGGGAATAAGCCATTGTACTATTAATGCTTAGACAGGAACAAGATTGAATATACGTATCTACTATGGCCATTGAGGGCATCTTTTCCACACAACTCACAGATACTGCTCACTTAGAACCCAGGTCGAGGCGAGCCGTAAAAGGACTGTCAAACCGTCCCCACTCAACAACGGGTTTTTCTTATCTTCTATGTAAAGGGTTGGTTCGAGGAACATACAGGTGTCAGGAGCGTGAGAACATACAGGTGTCAGGAGCGTGACTGGGATAACATTGGCGGAGGAGAACCGTCCAACCATCCTCTTCATCCTGGGATGGACACTATTGCGTATACGCCCACCATTTGCCGGGCACGGGTCGGATCGCCAGGTTTTGGGAAACACAGATGAACCTTCTCTAGTTCAGCAGTGGTATAAACTGAGGGTTCTCGCCTCTTCTTGATGAACTGGAAGGAATCTTATTATGGCAGTCCGCAACATAATTGACTTCAGCTGTTCTGGTCGGGATTCTACATAGTTCCCGGCTTACACCAGTCGTTGTGGGAGTTACAGCGGATGTGGTCCTACTTGCTTGTGCTGGGAAAGGGTGGGATTTCTCGGATCAAATACCTCGAAATGTTGATTTTGCGACCAGCACGCGCGCTATTTACCCCGGCCTGACAAGAAAGTTCGAGGAAGATTTGATAATATTTGGTAAAATAGTATGTACTTTGGGAATGGGGGTTGTGCGGAAAGTGGAAATCCAAAGGGCATCTTATCTACCAAAATTCTGCCAGAGTGGGATTATATGTGCCTTGCTTGCCATACTTTCTAATGGAGTTGAAGTGGCAAATGGCAAGTAAGAAATGGCGCAGTTGCAGAGATCTAGGAACAAGGGATAGGTCTCATTGTTATTATACATGCTGGGAAATTCCAAACGAGGTGTGGCACCGGAAGAGTATCATTTTGGGTAGCATTGTTGACATTATCAGTCAG